ATTAGTGAATATAAGGGTACGCCTAGACTACATGCCTCTGGCGACAGAGGTATGTAGATTAGCCTACCAGACATAGGAAAATGAAGCGGCAATTTAAATAATCGCTGCTTCATTTAAATTTACATGGCTGCCACGCTGAGCCGACAAACAGCTGATCAGCTGTTTGTCGGCTCAGCGTGGCAGCCATGTAAATTTAAATGAAGCGGCGATTATTTAAATTGCCGCTTCATTTTCCTATGTCTGGTAGCCTAATCTACATGCCTCTGGCGACAGAGGCATGTAGTCTAGACGTACCCTAACTGTCCCTGCTATCACATCTCTCTCTTTCCATCTCAGGCGAAAATGTCATTCTACACACATCCCATTTCCTGGCACAACCAAACCCTGACCTTGCTTTATGTTATGCAGGAAGCTGCATGCCACATTTGGTTGTCCTAGCTCTTGTTTTGAGCAAGTAGACAGATGGAGACTCAAATATATAGTAGAATCACAGAACACTATAACTGGAAGAGACCTTGAGAGGTCATCAAGTCCAGTCCCCTGCCCTCACGGCAGGACCAAGCACTGACTAGACCATCCCTGATAGATGTCTATCTAATCTGCTCCTATATATCTCCAGTGATGGAGATTCCACAACCTCCCTAAGCAATTTATTTATTTATATAGGGGATTTACTACACGCCATGATAAATGTATCCTTAGGATCTCCTCTGACCTATCCAAATGTTTTTTTAAATTTCTATTCACCCGAACTACTAAGTGAAAAAAACTATCTTTAAAGTGACTCATTTAAAGTGTACCAACTTGAGTCTATTTGGCAAAATAATAAAAATCAAATATTAACATGACATTTTCAGCTGCTAGTTTAACTAGACTTCAGCAGAGACATCATCCCTCCATTTAATTATTTCAGAATAAAAGCAGCCCTTTTTTTTCCAGGAAGCAGTTTTACTTGAGATTGCTATATTACTAGGAAAACTAGAACATGGTCTACCAACAATAAGCCCATGGGAAGGTTATAACTCTAGGCAGGTCTCAAACCTTACGAATGTACCAAGAAAGTCAGTGTTCATGACAGAAGCCAAATCTGTAGAGAATACAACAGTTGACCTTCTTGGAAGCTTGAGAGTGTATTCTGTATAATAAAAACAAACTATATTTGACAAATGACTAACTCAATTTTAGCCTTTCAGCTTAACATTTGTAGTTCCACTAATCCAACAACCTAAAACTAGCAAAATAAAACTGATGAACACCCTTACATTTACAAGCTAATAGAAAGCATCTCTTAATTTAGTTAAACTATGTTGCAATACTCTAGTAAGGGCTGGATATAGAGAAATTAAGAGTTTTCCTTCAGCAACCCATTTTTGTGTGCTATATGTTTCTTCATTTTACCCTTGTTGCTTGCTGAATGTAAAGAAAACAAATTTTTAGCTGTGTAAATGGCAGAGTTCTAAAACTAAATGTGTAGAGTTTGAGTCTAAGAGTTGAAATTTAGATTTCAAGTATAATTTTCTTAAACAGCTACCTGAATAATATTTCTCTGCAACAACTGAAACTGTCAGATTAATTTTACATAACCTATACCTATATGCCATCTGTGGAACAATAAATATTTATTAGCTGTGCTGTGCTACTGCACAGATAAAAATAATCCTTTGCATGGATAAAAAGATGTTACTAAAAATGTAACAAAAAGGTAATATAAAAAAATGAAGGAAGTCAACAAAATGTTAACTACTGGAAGATAATGTGATAAATATTTCAGCAGAGATACAGTCATATGGACAAAGAATGGAGCCTGATCTCCCTCCTCCTCCCCCGCCACTCTATGTAAGTTCTGAGCCTTAAGTAGTATTTGTAGCTAACTTACCCAAATTAAACTTAGTATTACTCAAAATAAGTTCAGAAATCAAAATAAGATTTTGTAACACCACTTACATTTAACTCAGCCAGCACTCTTAAAAAAACCTACTGATTAATAATGGTTTATGCTATCAGTGCCTATTTTCAAGAGATTCTGCACTAAGAATGCCTTGTTATTTAGAAGAAATTAATTTCAAGAAGTGTCCACGTGGGAGGCTAGTTGGAACAGGCTGTGCCATTTTTACAAAGATATGCTGTTACACCTTGATCAGTATCATGATCTGCAATTCTCAAGTTTACTTGTCGAGCCCTACTGATAAGACAAATAACATAATCTACTTGCCCGTGGTGAGTAGATTACACCCTGGAAGAGCCGATGCGGAGCGATCTGTGTATGCGCAGAGCGCAGAACTGCGTGGCTCGCCATCACTCGGCAAGCCCTGCTTATCAGTATGCATAAAACTACCAAACGTACATAGTAAATTTCAGTATTGTTAACTGTAGAGAAATGTAAACTCTTGATTTGCTGATCATCATCTTGTGTCCTATACCGAAAGAGACTAAAGTTTTCAAATTTAAGCATCTAAAGTTGACAATCAAGTGAAGTGGGATATTATCAAAGGTTCCCAGTAGCCCCATTAAAATGTCATACAATCAGAATACCACATCTGGAAGGGACCTTCAGAGGTTATCAATTCCAGTTTCCTACCATCAAGGCAGAACCAAGCACTGTCAAGATACTCCCTGATCGGTCTATCCAATTTTAAATATCTCCAGTGACGGAAATTCCACAGCCTCCCTATGCAATTTATTCCTCCGTTTAACCAACCTGAAAGTTAGGAAGTTTTTCTTAATGTCCACCCCAAACCTCCCTTGCTACAATTTAAGCCCATTGCTTCTTGTCCTATCATCAGAGGCCAAGGAAAACAATTTCTCCCTCTTCTATGTGACACCCTTTTAGATTCTTGAAAATTATCATGTCTCCTCTAACTCTTCTCTCTTCTAAACTACACAAGCCCAGTTCTTTCAGTCTACCCACATAGCTCATGTTTTCTAGGCCTTGAATCATTTTTGTTGCTCTTCTGTGGACTTTCTCCAATTTCCTCACATCTTTCTTGAAATATGGTGTCAAACTGGACAATACTCCAACTGAAGCCTAATCAGCACAGAGTAGAGCGGAAGAAGGACTTCTCATATCTTGCTCATAACACTTCTGTTTAATACATCCCAGAATCATATTTGCTTTTTTTACAACAGTGTCATACTGTTGACTCATTTAGCTTGTGGTTCAGTATGATCCCTAGATCCCTTTCTTCAGTATCCCTTTCTAGACAGTCGCTTCTCATTCTGTATGTGTGAAACTGATTGCTCCTTCCTAAGGAGTACTTTGCATTTGTCCTTACTAAACTTCGTCCTCTTTACCTCAGACCATTTCTACAGTTAGTCCAAATCATTTTGAATGTCACCCTGTCCACCCAAGTACTTGCAATCCTTCCTAGCTTGGTATAATCTACAAACTTAATACTCATACTCTTTATGCCAATATCTGACTGAACTGTTAATAACTACTCTGAGAACGGTTACCCAGCCAGTCACCCACCCACCTTATAGTAGCCCTTTCTAGGTTGTATTTCCCTAGTTTATTGATAAGGTCATGTGGGACTGTATCAAATGTCTTACTAAAGTCTAGGTATACCACGTCTCCTGCTTCTCCCTTATTCATAAGGCTTGATATCCTATCAAAGAAATGTATCAGATTGGTTCGACATGATTGGTTCTTTACAAATCCATGCTGGCTGTTACCTATCACTTAATCGTCTTCCAGATATTTGCAGATGAATTCCTTAATTACTTGCTCCATTATCTTCCCTGACACAGAAGTTAAACTGACTGGCTCGTAGTTTCCTAGGTTGTTCTTATCTCCTTTTTTATAGATGGGCACTATATGTGCCCTTTTCCAGTCTTCTGGAATCTCTCCCAACTCCCATGACTTTTAAAGATGACAGCTGAAGGCTCAGATACCTCTTCTCTCATCTCGAGTAGTCAAGGATGCATTTCATCAGGCCCTTGTGACTTGAAGATGTCTAACTAAGTAATTTTTAACTTTTTTTTATTTTAAAATCTATATCTACCCCATTTCCACTAGCATTCACTATATTAGGCATCCTGTAACCATCAGTCTTCTTCATGAAAACCAAAACAAAGAAGTCATTAAGCACCTCTGCCATTTCCAAGTTTCCTGTTATTGTTTCTCCCTCTTCACTAAGCAATGGGCCTACCTTTCCTTGGTCTTCCCCATGCTTCAAATATATTTGTAGAATGTCATCTTGTTACTCTGTTTTGTACCTTTGCCTTTCTAATCTTGTCCCTGCGTACTTGACAAGCACTCACCCTTCTTAAAATAAATCTGATTACTTTGATTTAGGACTCAATTGTGGATGCCATTTGGGCCTAAAACTGTACCGTCAGTCAACTAAAAAGTTTTTTTGAATGTACTTGTTTTGCACCATAATGAATCTTTAACCACTACATTTGTTACATTCATTTTACCAAAAAATGGATAGCCTATGTATTACACTCATGTGAGTGGGGTTTTTTTAAGTTCAGAGTTCAAAATAGTATTAGGTAGTTTTGCCTCAACAGCTACTGGAGCATCATTGGGAGGAGGAGGAAAAATGACTGGGCCTGGAACTGTGCAAGAGTGAGGCCTCTTCCATATTTGTTCCAGAGGCACTAGAACTGCCCTGCAGAGACATGTAAACTTGGAGAAAAAAAAAAAAGCATTTCCAGCAAACAGCTAGCCCTGGGGGAAATGAAACCCATACGAGCAAGAGAAGCTGCCAACACAGAAACAGTGACAGTTCAATATCCCCTTTCCTTTTCATTTGGAAAGTCTCTCCTAACATGTGCCCACTCAAAAAAATACCCCACCCTGAACACTGTGACACTAACATGCCATTTGCTCATCATGCTCATCTGATTCCAGGTTACATCTTTGTCTCTTGTGTTGTCTTTACTTAGACTGCATGCTTTATGGAGTAGAAGCTATCTTTTAGTCTTTTTGGACAGTCCTTAGCACCATAGGTTTGTCACTAGGCACTAAAAATAATAAAAACAATCCCAATACTCACCACATTGAAATCTAAGTTTTTTTCTACCCATTCTTTGGCTTCCTTGAATTCATCTTTCATTTCCATGATATACAGTGTATCCAAAGCATCTACTATTGTTGCTCCTTGAATGTTACCTGAAAATACATGGAAATATAATTATATAATCTCTAATGTCAATGTCGACAAGTAAACCTGGTTAAAAATCAACTGACATACAAACAAGAGGATGAGTTTTTAGTCAGTTCATTTTGATTCTCATGCTGGAGCAAAACACTAATGTTTTATATTGGAAATACTGTAGTAGAATGTTTGTTTCACTGACATTCTCCTGAGGGGAAGGAGGATTTGGGTTTTATACCTTGGTTTGGAAGGATTAGATTTGCAATCAGTAAAGATCATGTCAGCAAACGTTGATTTCATTGTACATGCAAAAGCTGATGAAAACATTTCTACTGATTACAGAAATTTACAGCTTGACAAAATAAGAAAAATGCTGCTTGAGAGGTTAGTTTGATTTAAGGATGCTGATTTTGTATTATTTTATAGGTAGTGTTGACGTTTTTACTTTATGGTTATAAAAATAATTTTTTGGATCTCAGTGTCTAATGCTCTTTAATTATTGTCAGAAGGGCCCTCCCCCATCATTTCCACAATTGTCAAATTTTAAATTTGATATACATTTTAAAAACCTTACAAACATCTACTATCCACTGAAATTACATACAGAAAATATCACTTTTTGCCAACATACTTACTCCACACATTAAAATTTGGGCCCAATGTAACTGATAATGTCCCTGCAAATAGTAACAGCAGCTTTAATAGTTTTGCCTTTAAAAGACTGACAGAAGTGCACAACTAAGATCTACTACAAGTGAAATACTAGTTAATGTTGCATTTGTGAAAAGTTTGAATCTTTTTAAGTCTGTCCGTCAGCGGCTTTGTCTTGTCTAGTTAGTGAATACCAAACAGCCTCCGAGAGGATCTTGAAATACTTTAGTCACAATGTGTAAGTTTCACAGCATCAAAAGTTAGGGAATACTATTCTAATTTTGTAGGGTCCCACTGGATTACTTAACAGAGCAAGCAACAGGCCCCTGAATCTTCTAATTATGCACTGCAATCAAAAAATCATCCTTTCTCTAAGTGAATTTTGTTTATATTCTACTTGGCCCTACCTGGATCTCAAGTAAGCTCACCTACAATTATTTGTATTACGGTTGTTCCTAGGAGCTCTTCTCAGGGACCAGGTCCCATTGTGGGAGGCACTGTACACACTGAACAAAAACAATCCCTGCCCCACAGAGCTAACAAGCTAAATGTAAGCTTAGACACAATAAATGGATATGGACAGTAGGGATGGATGTAAGAATGTAGCCATTTAAATGGTTAATCAGTAAGCATTAGCTTACATGTTTCTGTAACTGTTGCAGGCCGATTCCTGACCCTGCTGCCGGGAAGCTGACTGCCACTCTATGCTTCTGGCTCTGCATCAGAGCCTGCAGCATGGGGCAGCAGCCGACCTTGCCGGGAGCCTTATAAGCCTGCTTCCCATGTGTACTGGCTTCTAGAGAGCCAGCTGCCGCCCCATGCTGTGAGCTCGGTATCAGTCTGCAGCATGGGATAGCAGCCTGCTCTCCAGGAGTGGGGCCAGCAGCTGGTTGCTTGTGCGCTAGTAAGCTTGCTCCCTATGCACACTGGATCCAGCTGCCAGCCCTGCTCCCAGGGAGCTGACTGTACTGCAGTGCCTGCAGTATAAACTTTATACTGCAGAGCCCGCAACATGCAACCATATAACTGCTAAGAACTTAACGGTTATGATTACATTAACAACCGCTTTTTAACATCCCTAATGAACAGCTGTATCTTTTCTTCATCTCAGTGTGCACGTCAACCAATTTATCTTCCAATGCAAGCACAGAAGAGGTAGTAAATGCTATTTTTAGAGCTTGTTCTGGTGATTCACGAAGGCTGCAGTCTTCCTTCTTGATTTTGTAGACTGAAGTCAGTTTATCACAGCTTTCAATTTTTAAAAAGTGCTATACTATTTTGTTGCAAAACAAAATGCACCAGAAGCGTTTAAAACTGCCACTGACTTTTTCCGGAAGATTCATGAACCAATCGCACTGGAGCAGGGCAGTTGAGGAAGTTACTTGAGTTACTTGGCTATTGGCTTTAGGCTGCCTCAAGATTCCTGCAAATCGGGAATATAGTACTAATCAATTACTGAACAGCCATAGCCCACAATGGCACAGCTTGTTGCAGCTCCCATGCATATTCAGTTGCAAAGAAACACTGGTCACAAGGGCATGGAGAAATTCCTTAGATACTATGGAGGTACTAATATGGTGATTGAGCACTGTATAAAAACTTGGATTAATAAAAATCTTTTTTAAAATTTGAATATGAAACAAATTAAGTCTTGCAGTACAACTGTCAGCTCTTCAGTGCAAAATCTCTGCAAGATTTTATGATGGGCACGGAATGTGGCAGGAGCCCAGCACCCATAAAGCAAAAAACACAAGGTCAGCACTGCTATCACAGCAGGTTTGCCACACCTGCAGTTTAGTGGTAATTAAATGCTATAGTTAATAGAACCTCTGCTTCTAGAATACTATGTCTTTAAATGATTAAACTAAAATTATAGACTGAGCAAAAATGAGGGGAATTCATGGGAAGTGTAATACACCACACCAAATTAAAAAGACATAACTAACATAAAAAAGTGGACATATCAGGTAAGGCCAAAGGTCAGTCTAGCCCAATATCCTGTCTTCTGACAGTGACCAAGGCCAGGCGCCCCCGAGAGAATCAACAGGTAGTGATACAATGATTCATCCCCTCACCCATTCCCAGCTCCGGACAAACAGAGGCTAGAGATGCCATCCCTGTCCATCCTGGCTAACAGCCGCTGATGGACCTGTCCTCTATGAATTTATCTAGTTCTTTTTTGAACCCTGCTATAATCTTGTCCTTCACAACATCCTGTGGTAAGGAGATCCAGAGGCTCCATGTTATTTCAAATATATGTATGTTCTTATCCCAAAGAAGATTAGTTAATACTAAGTACACTTGGTGAGGAGCCGGATTTACTCAATTCAATATTTTAATTTACTTTTTATTCTGGTTTACATGTGTGATCTAATTGTGTTGTGCATAGCAGCACTTAGATGTAATGGCTAACATTTGATAGCATTAGTTTGCCTGTGAATTCGTTTAGCTGAGAAGAGATTTTAGAAATCATGTTTTTAGTTGCCAGTGTAACTTTACCACTGTCCTACTATTTTGAAATATTTTAGCAAAACAGAAATAAATTAGCAATGTGGGTTTGTACTATTACTACAAAGCAATACTATATTTCTGTGTTGAACAGCAGCACAAATTGCAGTTCGGGTTTCCTGTTTTACTGTTTTGAGCTTCCAGGAATTCTGCTTCTTCATGGAACAGATAAGCAATTTGACTCATTGTACAGAAAAGACACAGCTGCTAATTTTTGTAAGAGCCTTGTTTGAAAGACATGGTACAGTCCTATAATTCATTTTTTTCTATCTTTGTGCATTTGTTACAACTGTGCATTTACCTCTTGCACTGTGATGTTGATTCCCAGATGCTTATCTACTCCATTTGACTCTAATGACCTCTTGCACCATGTTAACATCTTATCTGTTTCACCCCTGGTTTAGTTAGGACAGTTCATTTCACTGAAAAAATGGTCTTTCACCAACAGAAGCTGAAGTAATTTATTTCTTGGGCCAAAACCTTGCCCCTCTAATATTCTAAAACGAGCATTGTTACAACACAGCAAATATTCCATGCCATGCCAGGCACAGCAGTTCAGGAAGGATACAGCAATCAAAATCATACAACAAAGTAAGGGGCATGGTCTGATAATACTAGAAGACACGAGTGAGAGGATATAGCCGACCACAGTATAGTTCTCAAATATTTAACAGAGTACTATGAACGCTGCTTAGTGAACTATTAGTGTACTCTAATAGTTCAAATCCACTTACATACAAAAAGTTTGCATCTTGATTTCCTTCAGTGCATGTCAATGGATTTTTCTCTACCTGCATTGAAATGTCTGCGTGTTAATCCCTTTCTAATACAGGCAGTCCCCGGGTTACGTACAAGATAGGGACTGTAGAGGTTTGTTCTTAAGTTGAATCTGTATGTAAGTCGGAACTGGTGTCCAGATTCAGCCGCTGCTGAAACTGAACAGCGGCTGATTACAGGAAGCC